AGTTACGATTCATTTAAATCGTAAATAAACTATTGCGATTAATAGGGACTTTTAGATTTGCATGTTGACAGCCTTGACTGCAACGTGTGACGTCATTTTAAGGCACTGTGCATGCGTCTAGTACATACAAACATACATAATGGTATTTATCTAGCGCCTTTACATGCTCAAGGTACTAGTATGCCGCGTGCGCATAAAATTATACAGTTCCTCAGGTAGACAAAGGAACATCCCTTCCCTGCTATTATGTATAGAACAGGTGTCACATGCATATTCACATGTTCTACACATTTTTACATAATAGCAGTGAAGGGATGTTCTTCAGTTGTTGAGGGTAGAATGAGGAACTGTATATTTTGTCCTCTTTCTTTGTCCATGATTTTCATAGTGTTACTTCCTGCATGCATGTATATCGTCGAGTGCAATCTAAAATTGTTATATTTTTAGTCAACATGGTCAGTTAAGTGCGTTGACACGCATGATCAGTCGGCGTTCGTCGTGTTCTCGTCCACTCAATCTAAAAGTCCCTAATATCAACTCCTTACAAGACGGGGCCCTCGAGTAGAATAATACCAACAAAAAACATAACAACTGTGATTGAAATACCAATTATAGCTTACCTCTTACTCCCTTTCGACTCCTCTCTTAATTCTCCTCTGTGTCTTTATAATCATATATTAAACTGTTGGGTAAGCTGTGATCGGGCACTTACTGCAGCCTCTCAAACATCCAATGCAGAAACATGATATTTATACTCCGGATAAACAAGAGGTGGTGGTTTTCTCACATTTACGATGCGGAATGATATAACATCGCGATGTGAACAGCTATTTTGTAATCGACGTTGAATGATACCAACATAATAGGGTTATTATACGGCACAGACAGCTAGCGCGCCGCTTAAAAGGGGATTTTCTCCACGTTAGGTCCATGGTAAATGAAGACACGGCAAACAACCACTTACCTAGCCTATAATCTAGGCGGAGTGCCGAGCTTTTTTCTTTGCTGCTAGACTAACCTTAAGCAGAACGTCTGATACGGCGAGACTACGAACCGTGAGCCGCGGAGCGGCTCACCGCCTATAATCACTGGTCTAGCTTTAGTCGTTGTTTTTTTTTATTATCGACCATGAATCCGTGGCAGTTTTCGTACGAAAAAACCTCATGAATACGAAATGAACTCAACCAATCAGAAACACGTATGGAGAAGAGTCTATGCATATGCATATTATAAATCACGTGACATTACGTCATTTTCTTCATCCAAGATGGCGGGTAGTTCATGCGACGACGATCTTCTGCGAGAAAGTTTATCATATGCGGCCAACAAACTAGGCATTCTTAATGGAAAATTCAGAGAACTGCAGGAATCCGCTATTCGTAGCGTTATTGAAGCCGGCAGGGATATTTTTGTTGCATTACCTACTGGTTTTGGAAAGAGTGCAATATACCAAGCAATTAATCCCCTTGTGCTGTGATTTTCTACGCGACCACGGATTCTAAAATAGTAATGGACGAGCGCAATTTGTTTTCGTTGCGGTTTCTTATATCTGATTGGTCGAACGTAACATAGGTGTACCTTATTTGGTAGGGCTGTTGAATGATTCATAGATCCGCCATTTTTAATATATATGAATATTGATTAGTTAGACCAGTGATTATAGGCGGTGAGCCGCTTCGCGACTCACGGTTCGTAGTCTCGCCGTATCAGACGTTGTGCTTTAATAGGGTTAGTCTAGCAGCAAAGAAAAAAGCTCGGCACTCCGCCTAGATTATAGGCTACCACTTACCTCGAAACAACAACCAAAGCTGCCAGCTGCGTGAAACGTAAACACACTTACAGCTTTTACATGTTTGCCTCTTGTATAATAAAGAAATATAATAATGAAACGTGCATTTTCCTATTTGTTTCTTCTTACAGAGAAATGACATATTTATCAACCAGCTAAAAACAATTTAATTGTATTTTTCAAAGTGCAGTGAAGGTTAATAATTATTTGTCCTCAAATATCATACTGTTTTGTCCACTGATAATGGTATTGGAATCATCTTGGATTCAGGATATTCTATCAAGTTGAAAAATAGCACATTGGGATTCCCAAGTAGGATTAAAATGTGAATTATTAGTCTAAAGATTCAGACCATTTATTCTAGTTAAAGCTCCATCGTACATAGGGAATGGTTCATGCGGGGATCGAGAGAGAGAGAGAGAGAGAGAGAGAGAGGGGTGGGAGGGGGAGGGGTACCTTACCCCAACAGTTCAAAAATAACTAGTGTTCAAGGCGATGGATGGCCTTGTGCTGCACATAATGCGAAGGTTGGAGAGGTAGCTAACTTATATTGCATGCCCGAATATCAGCTTTCCAGAGTATAATTTTACGTCTGGTAAGCAAAAATAAATAAATCACAGTGGTAAGAATATTTCATCAATAAAATACACAGAACAAAACATGGAATGATTTCGCTAGGTAACCAAATATGCAGGCACGTAGCCAGAGATTGATGTTTGGGGGGGGGGGGGGCACACATACATGTAATCGATCGAGGTCCAAAAAGTGGTCTAATTTTTTTTTTTTTGGGGGGGGGGCACGTGCCCCCCCCCCCCCCCCCCCCCCCCCCCTTGGCTACGTGCCTGCAAATATGAGCCAAGATATGTTCTGGGGTACTTAAAGTACTCTGAATATTCTATCGGTGGTTATTTTCGAAATTTTAGAGGTCTGCTCGATCCCCCCCCCCCCCCACGTAGGTCTACGCCTTACGTCTAATCGCATGAATCATTTTCTGTGCACGATGAAGCGTCAACCAGAATAAAGAGTCTGAATTGTTAGACTAACAAGCCACATGACACCCTGTCTGGGAATCCCTATGCGCTATTTTTAGCTTGATAGCTAACCTTGAATTGATCGTTTGATATCCCGCTACAAAGATGTTTCGAAGATGAGTCAGGGGATGAAACGGTGTGATTTTTGAGGAGAAAGAATAATAATACACTCCACTGCACTTTGAAAAATAACTGAATTGTTTTCAGCCACTCTGGTTTATAAACCTCTATTTTACTCTGTATTAGAAAAACATGTACGTAGCATGCTCCTTTACACGAGGCAATATGTAAACACTGTCATTGTGTTTTACGTTGCGCGTAGCTGGCAGCTTGGCTTTGTTTGTTTTGCCATTTCATCGCTAACATGGGGATTCCCCGTTCGAGTGCATATAATCTGCGTTGTAAAGTGGCCGTATATTCAACGTTGATTACACAATAGCTCTGCGTATGCTGAGATCGCGATGTTATTATTGCGCAACGTAAATCCCCGCCTCTTTTTTATCGTGACTATGAGCATTATGTTTCTGCACTGGATGCATAGGCCTACAAATGTACGATATGCTTCATTTGTGACTTTGCTTAGTGCTCGATCACAGGTAACCAAAAAGTTATATCTATACAGACACAGAGGAAATTAGAGAGAGGAGTAGAACGGGAATAAGAGGTAGGCTATATAGAACATAATATATTGCAGTTACGATTGTTATGTTATTTGTCTGTATTATTCTACGTTATTATTCTCGTTTTTTGAGGAGTTGATATCATTTGCGATTGATATAAATCACAACTATTATGTACATTAGATATAGGAGACTGTAAATTTGCTATTGTGACATAATCCTCTGTGTGACATAATCGTTGGCAGCGGGTACGTTACTTGGCTAAACAGGCTACTACCTTACCTTACCACTCATGGACGGATCGACTTCGTAGTTGTACGTATACTCGGTGGCGTACAGATGGGGGGGGGGCTGAAGCCCCCCCCCCCCAATTTGTTTACGAACAAGAAAAAAAAAGAGAAAAGGAAAGAGAGAAGGGTGAAATATATTATTTTCTGAATATTAAGTCAAAATCTATCACAAAGTTGGATTTTTGTACTAAAAATGTCAAAATTTGTGCTCGTTCGCTTCGCTCGCTCGCAATTTTGTATTGATTTTACGCGATACGCCATATTCAGCCCCCTCAAAAATGTTGGCTCATTACGCCACTGCGTATACTATAATGGACAAAACCTAGATATGCTCATTCTTAAATTTGAGGTGGTGTGTCACAAACGGACCAGCGTCTGATTCTCACGACTTTCATAATTCGCGCGGGTTCGAGGTGTCTGATGAGACAAACAATTTTGCAAAAATGACTGTCACCGCTTTTTGTGTAATCCATAAAATTTCAATGAAAGCGCGCCCTACCTTCTGTTCTCGATGCAGGCTCGGGTCGCGCGGGAAAACAATCGGTTAACCATAGACGGGGAAAATTAAAGATACTGTGTCCTTTTTGCAGCCAACATAAAATACTGTAAAACTTTGCAGGAATTATGAATATGTCATGTATATTATGTCCTATCTGTGAACTTTAAACATTAGCAGTGTCTAGCATTCAAATTATGCAAGAAAACCCGTTTACCCTCTATACTTCACTGTCAGACACATTTTTTTTTCGTTGGTACTAACATACATAAAATGAGCTGTAACAGGTACATGAACATTTGTCTAAATCAATAACCCACTAATTGTTATGGCAAAAATTAAACTGATTGAATCTTTGTGCAGCACAAGATGTACGACCATTCGATAAAAGGGTCTGAAAATCTGACTATTACTAAGGTGATTGCAATCACTTAATTGTCGATTAGACAACTAATGTTGGTTATTTTCCCCTAAAAGCCATTTTCAGGCCCTTTCGGTTTGAGGAAAGTTCTAAATTAGTATTGTCTTTCAAATGCCGTTGGAATTTAACCTTTTCTTTTTTTGGCCTGCAAATGGGACATAGTACCTTTAAATAAAGGACAAGATGTCACTGTCCCTATATGCTGCCCTCTTGTTTGCTGAGCAAAGAACACTAGTAGTGTAGAGCTAGCAGTAGATGTTGGATTTCAATTTAAAACAATTAATTTGAATGCGTGGTCTATCGTCCGCATGTTTTTTTTTTTTCATAAATAAAACCGTTTCTCGGTTTTTAGTTAACTTATAGTACTTCTTTGCTCTCCTAGAAACAACACAATGGCTTCATGGGACTATTCGGATGATGGTGATGCTATCATGATGCTCAAAAGGACATCTTTAGAAGGTTATCCGATCAAAGATGCCTGCGGTAACACAGAGTGCGTTGTCATGACAACCTTTAATGGGCGTGTCTACACCTGTGACCCGAAAGGCGTTAGCAAACAGGAGAATTATGGTGAGAAATTGATGAATACTGGAAAATAGGCTTAATGGGAAGAGCAAAGGATTCCGGAAGCAATGGGTTAAAAATATATATATTTTTCCAGATTGTTGCATCAATAAGTTGACAAATTCATTCAACAATAAAAGAGAGAGACAGAGAGAGAGAGAGGAAGAGAGCGAGAGAGTGCAAAGATTTTTCTCCTCTGTTCAGAACATGTGAATCAATAATACATTAATACTGGCATAGGCCTAATATCAGGCTAAAGTTTGATAGTGGTGATAAATTTGTTTTCTTCTTCCCCCAAGAAGAATGCTGAATTAGTACAGATGATTGAATATAATGAGCATGGGGGGGGGGGGGGGGGGGTCACTGAAGTTCTGACTTTTGTGTTTGTCGAAAGCTTCGTATATTGAACCCGATCCTTTATTCTTTTCTTGATAGCCGTCCACCCTCGCTTTTTGTTTCACCCGTTTTTCTTTCGTTTTTTGCTTGGAGGGATTTTGATCCCTTTACTATCTTAACATACCTTAAATGTGTAAATAGAGGCCTGATATTTACCAAATAATTTCAATTAAATATTCTCAACCTCCTCTCAAACCAGTCGAGGTGATCTTCCCGACATCCGAAGAGGAGAATGAACCCTGCGTTGACATCGTGAGCGTATGCTGTGGTCGACATCACTTCCTTGCCCTCTCTGCCGATGGTCGGGTCTACAGCTGGGGTAGGAACGATGTCGGGCAGCTTGGTATTCGGAAAAAGAAGCAGAGATATGATAACCAGAGCCAGATTACACAAGACTTCACACCAAGGTTAGGTTAACTGCCGGATCCAGGATTATATGGCCGCAGGCGTATCAGGACAATAGCCCCGTTGACAATCACCTCCAGAAAACTACCCCCCCCCCGACCCCGGAACCTCGTAGGACAATACCCCCCCCCCCCCCAAGACAACCAAGGACAACCTTCCCCCGAGGTCAATTATCCCGACAATTATCACCTGTTTATTAAAGGGGAAGTCCACCCTGATAATAAGTTGGTTTTTATAAATAAAAGCAGAATTTTTTATTGGAGGGGGGGGGGGGAGGGAGTTGTCCTCAAGAGATGATTGTCCTCGGGGGGTAATTTTCCGGGTGGTAATTGTCCTCGGGGGTAATTTTCCCGATGGTAATTGGCCGGGGGTGGGGGGGGGGGGGTCATTGCCCAAGGGGTAATTGTCCTAGTACCGGTCGGAGGTGGGGGGGGGGGGGGTAGTAGAAAGAGAGAGAGAGAGAGTATGCAAATTGGCATACACAAGACTGCTTTGTGCATTTACTCCTACATTCCTCTATGACTGATTAGCCCCTAAACAAGTTAGACTGTAGAGTTCACTTAAACATAAAAAAAATAATAAAATGCTTATACAGCGATTGTCAACCAGTCAACTACTAATATATAACAGGTGCCTTTTGGATTATGGAATTGCCGCCAAGGGAGTTGGGGGGGGGGGGGAGGGGGGGGGGGGCATAAATCAGAGCATATTTCCCTTTTCATATATACGATGCGTAAATCAAATTCTGGCATACAGATAATTAATTAATTTTGGTTTGGCCGGGGGACATGCAACTTATTGAAAAATCGACCTCTTGGTTCGCGACGATATTTCCGGAATACATTTACACTTTGGTTGCCTATTTGCCACAAGTGCAAGTTTGCACACAACTATAGGCTCCCATCACAATTATTAATTTTAGTCAGCCAATTTTAAAAGTGTTGATTTAAATTGATCTTAATGTAAGAATATTTTACTCACACTATTTTGATTAACGTATACTGCCATGTGCTGCTCACAATGTCCCGAATCGACAGCCATGATGCATTACCAACTCCTTGACAGGAACCGGAAATCATTCTGTATGCCTTCACCGAAAGATGGCGCAATTGAAAATACATAACTGAGGACATACTGTGTATGATCGAATCTCTTTGATACATTACAGCAGTGGTGATGTCGGTAAAATATCCTACCTTTAATCATTCTACAACATGCATGTTTTCAGATTGATCGAGGAACTCTCAAACTATGACGTCATCCAGATTGCCTGCGGAGACGTCCATTCAATCGCACTCACTCTAGGTAATACGTCTTTCTATTCAAGTCCCGACACAACTTTGGAAAACCGCTGGCAATCAAATACTTCCAAAACAGTTCTAGGACAATAATCCCCTGGGAAATAAACCCCGGAAAATAACCCCCCCCCCCCCTAAGGGCAATTACCCCATGGAGAATTACCCCCACCCCACCCCCGAAGAAAATCAGAAGGTAAATTTCTGATTTGATTGCTCACGGGATAATTGTCCTGATCTTCGAAATAGGCTCATAACGCCCTCATCGTTTAATTCAAGGTAGTATGTTTATTAAAGACATCCATGAGACAAAATATACTGAATATTGAATCATACATTTTCAGGAAATTAATACTGGGGATAGATCTAAAATATTTGTTATGTATATGCTTCAAGTATTGTGTATGACTAATCGTTCAAATATTAAGAGGATAATTTAGGCGCTTAAAATTTCAACAGCAGGTTGACTTTACAAGATTTACCATAGGTCTTTTGTACACACTGCGTCGAAGTGAACGATGAGGGCTCTTTATTTACTGTGAAGTGTTCCCTACTTTCTTAGTATTTGCCTTTAAGCTCTTTTTGAAAGTTCTGTCTTACTGTTTTAATTCTTTATAATTGTCATCTATATATGATTCCTCGATATCTTTAATGTGGTAATGCTTTGCCGACACAGATTCTTCGAAAGATGCTATCAAAACAATATCTTAACGAAAGCTTAGATGAAAAATCAAAGAATTGAAAACGACATAGGCCTATCTAAGCTATAAGAGATTTAACATGTTATATTTTTTACCTCCATGATTCAGTAATTTTTCTTTTTCCCCATCTAACTAGTTTTAATAATCTCATTGATGTCTTAAGTTTACTTTCATTTTATTTCCTAATAACGGATACGTGATTCGTTGCATTGTTAACTAGGCAATCGCAACAGCGCCTGTGTGTGTATATTGTAAGAATGGAACTGATTTCACTGCCTTTTTGCTAGATGGGCGGCTGTTTTCATGGGGTTGCAACCGTCATGGTCAGCTAGGTGTGGAGACCAAGTGGGCCGCGAAGGAAGCAAAGGACCATGCAGAGAAACCCATTGAAATCGAAGGTCTCTGGGGAATTCCCGTGCAACACATTGCCGCTGGCGGCGCTCACTCCGTTGCTCTTTCCACTACCGGGTCAATCTTTGTGTGGGGCAGTAACACGCATGGGCAGTTGGGATTACAGAAGTTAGATGGTAAGCGACAGTATTTATATAATATATTCTTTTATCACACGAAAACAAAGCCCTACAGTATTCGTATTATTATTATCTATATCAGGACGACTAGCGAAATAACAACATTTGATTTATCTCGGTAAAATGCTGTAGATTTTCGATAATCGAGCAATATTCTATTGGCAGTTGAAGTTCCCGGATGACAGGGCAATACGAAAACAATATTAATTGATCCGTCATCCGGGTGCTGCGCTAAAAATATTAAATACACTGATTTATTGTACAACTTGGAAGCCTGTAAAAGATAATAATTGCTATTATATACCTCACTTTAGAAATCAAGCCATCTGATTGGTCGAAATTGGAGTCGTTAATTTATCAATTCGCGTATTAAAGAAACGTAAACTGCCAAAACCAGTCAATAGTTTTTGAAAAGCGCCCTAGTGCACTTTTCAAAAGACTATTGACTGGTAGGCGGGTATGATTACACGTAGATCTAGACTGCATATGGATATATGCGTGCAATCTCAATGGGAAGGATTTTAGCACACAGACTCGAGTGGTGCGCGATCAGACACCCTATTGAGATTAGATTTCTAGGTCTTAATAGCGTAAACAAACTTGATTACCATGATTGGTAAGTCGCACATGTATTTTATGACCCTCTTCGGTATACGAGTTATAATGAATGATTTATTATTCGAGGCATAGTTGTTTTATAGGCTCTCGGGGAGGTTACATCGTGATATCACCCCTCGGCATGCCTTGGGGCGATAGCACGATGTTACCTCCACTTGAGCGTATAAAAACAACTGCGTCTCTCATATCAGTCATTATTACTATAATATTGCATCTTTGTTTCTAAATACTTCATGACACGTCGTCAAGCAACCAAGCAACAACAACAACAACCAAAAAAAGGGACAAGAAAATTGTAAAAAAGAAAGGAAAAAAAGGAATAAAAACAATTCCTAAAATAATACGTCAGGGTATTATGTACCTTATTGCGTGGTGGATAGGAATGCTATCATGTATAGCATATTATATTTAATGTTTTTGTTTTGGTAATGGTTCACTGGATACAGTCTTGCTTGATACCAGGATGTGTAGTACGTACATTTCTATTAACCTATGTCAAACTGTCTTATCTTCCAACACACTTCTTTAGATGTGAAGCTACCGGTCAAGTTGTGTTCCTTATCACAAGGCAATGTCAATGTTGTCTCGTGCGGAATGCACCATACAAGCTTCCTTAAACAGGTAGGAACACGTTTAAAGACGTTTCGTAGTTGCGTGGTTTAAACACTGGACCCAGTTTCGAAGGTCATGGGTTCGAGCATCGGTACTATACTCTTAACAAGATGAAATGACGATGTAGCAATTTTGAGAGAGGCAGAAGGACCAGTCAACACACTTTTGTAAACTGGTTGCGTTCTTCGCCTCCACGCGAGGTTGCCGCACGTGCAATTTTGCACAAACCAATACGCACCGGTTGATGGCCCAGCCGGGGATTGTTTGTGCAACACTATGAATTTTTAAAAATGACACATTTCCGGTCTTGATTAACTCCATGACAACTTTTTTTTTAAATATTCTTGAAGCCTATGGTACATCTATCCCATGATGAATATATTGTGGCACATGGAGACAATAAGGGAGGCCTTCTAAGAGTAAACGGGCAATCCATCTCCTGCTATGTTGGAAAGCAAAGTGACCCATGAACTTCAACTGCCTAATCCTCATTTCACGTTTCATTTTCCTTTGCTCTCCAGCTCTTCTAAGAACTTCCTCATTATTAACTTTGTCAGTCCAAGGGATTTTTTACCATTCTTTATGTTAATTATATTACCCCCAGAAAACGTACCCTAACCCATAAATACATATCATTATAGGTCCTCCAAGGATTAAACACCCTCCTGATTCGTATAGATTTAAAGAAAATTGATATTTCTGTCATTTTGAGTGTTTGAACAGATCGGAAAGTTGTCTGCATTTACATCACAAAGACATTACCGATTCGGTGAATTTGATAAACCTACACCTGTAATGTTTACAACTTTTAGATATTAACAACTTAAAAAAAAAAAAAAAAAATCAGATTTCATTCAAACTTTCTGATTTTCTGCCTTTGCTCTTTAGTAATTTATGTCAATTTTGGATTTCCCTTTAATATTATATTTACTCCCCCCATCTCTTGTAATCATTAAACAGTTGGATGCCTGATGTAGTTTTAGTAAGGAGATTTCATATCTTCCAAAAATATACAAATTATTGTTTTGTGATTATACTCCTTGAACAACGCTTTTCTTAAATTTCGCGTTTTTTCCTTTTGGTAGAATGGCCAGCTGTTGGTATATGGTATGGGTCTAGACAGGTGCCCTTGTGAGTCCGACGAATGGGGCAAGTCTGAACTGAGACCTGGACGACCCGGACGCACGTTCTCTTTCCTACAATCAACAAAGTATGCGTTCATGTAGACATGTTTTTCGTTTTTTTTCAGTCATACCTTTATTAATGTTATCTCTATAAAGACCACCTGTATGTAGTGGCCGCTTTTTCTGTTTCTTGGGTGGCCTTTATAGACAAGTTTGACCGTAAGCCTATTTATTTATTTTTTTTTTGCTATAGCTCTTCAATGTTTTCTTTTTTGTTATTACTATAAAAACATCGACTTTGATGGTTTACAGATGGTTTTAATCTGTTGATATCTTTTAGAACCAAGATAATAGATGTACAGTATTATGATAATTATGCAGTGTTGTCCACAGGTACCATTATACACTTTTATTGATTTAAATCGGTGGCTGAATTAACTAAGATTATCAAATACATGTACATGGACCACTATTACATTTGTCGATGTACTTACCACAGGGTACACATGATTCTATCGTGGCAATGTTGTGTCTTTCATGGATCAATACCACAAGCTTAAAAAATATTTCAAAAGATGCTAAAAATGAGTCAACATTAATGAGATAAAATAGTTTATTGTGAATCCACCACTGAAAAAACAGGATATAGCAACATATTTCGACACTTTAGATTTCTCTCTTGCCGTTCCCTGCAGTCGATGTATATATGCAGTTGATGAAATCACCAATGGGGTCTTCGTTCTTGATCATGAGAAGGTCCAAAAGGGTGGAAATGTACAGCTTGAACCCCTTGAAGGAGCTTCGATGGTTGACTTGTTTGAACCTGAATCGTCCACTGATTGGCCACCTGGTCGTTACGGCTTTGATCCAAAGGTCTGGGAACCATCAAGGCCTGTAGAGGACTACGAACATGTCGAAAGATTCGAAGAAGGAACCCGCAGAGATGATGTCGAGGATGATGAGGAAGGCATCACTGATCTTTCTGCTACATTTGATACACCTTCAGTCACCAACGAACATGACGGTCATGCGGGAGAAACGTTGAAAGATGTATCTGGCATAACCTGTGTTGGTCAGGAGAACCATCAAAGGCAACCACGAACCTGGCGCCGACTGTGCGCTGGACAGGAAAACATCTTTATCATAGAGCAGGATGAACCAGTGGTATGTGTACTTCTATTTGTATGTTATGGTTTTTGTTGTTGCTCTTGTGCCTGACAACCTAAAAATGTTAATATTCGAAACATAGAAAAAGATATACTGTATATTCAATAATAAATTTGAGGTAAGTTGTTAAGTATTACGTTTTGTCAAAAAGTCATAGATTTAACCTCACATACCTGAGCTAAAATGCTGGTTATGATGTATTATGACGTTGATACCATTTCGAGCATGAAAATGAGCTGGAATTCATTCCATGCCTTTTCTTTTGTTACCCTCAGAGGAAAGATGTCCATATTTCAATTACTCCTGGACGGGAGATCGGTACACTATCTGCTGGACTGCTGCAGAGTTTAAGTGACATGCAAGGAGACATCACTGAAGAGAGTGCCCCTTTCCGACAAGCAAGCATGGTGTTCTCATCTCCCGCTTGCCTAAATGCATCCTTCCGCCAAACAGGGTAATGATGATGTGTTAAAAGGATAATAATTTCGCAAGTCATTCATCTTGTTTTATATCTACATTTATCATTGTTAATTTATGAAACATCCGTAGCTTATCTTTGGATTGTCCAATTACTTTTGGAAAATAAACCAAAAGTAACATCAATAGCCTGAAATTTGTGCCCTATCTCTTGTTGTAATGTGCGACGATCGAAACTTCGTTTCTATGGGCGATAAGAAAGTAATTAAAATTTCTGTTTAGTTGATTTCTTAAAAATATTCGGGTTCGGTTTTTAATGTTTGTACTTCATATTTTCAGACCAAACGAAGTCAATGGTCTGAATGTTGATCTAAAAGCAGCAAGAAGGGCTTACAAAGTGATCAGCGAGAACGACAATCTTATTGAAAAGGTGAACCTAATATTAAACAGCTTGACAGTGAATTACAAATTAATCATATCTTGCAGTTTTCTCTATATTGATAAGGAAAGAATGTAGTTATTAAACGAACACATGAAAACGAATTCATCAAGAAAACACAGGTTTCCGAGGATGGGATGCGAAAAATCTATCTTTAAAAAAAAATGTTTTTGGTGAACTCAACAGAGTATTTTTTTCTCCAGACACCGTAATTTCTAATACTTTTTTCGTGTTGATTCTTTTTAATAATTTGATTATCTTGTTTTTATGTTTTTTTATGATTTGCCGTTTAGATCAAATGGATCTTTCTAAAACGCAACCAAAAGTAACAACTGCCAATCCACATGATTAACTTGAAATGTTATACAACATACTACACATATTAATGTATTGGTATTTTTGCATTTATGCCATATCTTTACCAGTAATTAAATTCTACAAAATAATTACATTTTCTCATAATCATCTTCTACAGCTCTCCGAAGTGATCTCTGTTAATCTGTGTACCAGCATACCTCAGTCGACACCCCACATCGAAGCCCTTCGGTTCATCTATATTCTGATGGAATGTCCTGTGTTCAGTAACCATCACCGCCCCTGGGGGCGCCGTGCCCTGGCCGCTGCAGACAGGTTGATAGGGTTTCTTCACATGGCATCGAAGGCCGGGGAAAAGAAACCCAATTCGGCAACACCTGGTAAACAGTCAGACACAACTTCAAAAAAACCGAGCCAAAGGCATCGGGGAAAAAATGCAAAGTCAACTTTTTGTCGTTATATGTTTTATTGCTATGGGTTAATTATCTTCAGAATCCCTAAATGATTAATCATATACAAATTCGTTCTAAATGGCTAAAATCATATTTTTAAAAAAATTATTCAAAGCAATTTTTTTCTCAAAATGTATGTTGAGAACAAGTTGACCTAAGAAGAGTTTCAACATGCTTTTCGTACGCACTGCCACTCATGATGAGAGCACTATGTTCACTGTTAGGTATTCACTGTTTTCGAAGTACTTTCCTGTACTCGGGCTTTCCGAGGTTGTTTGTAATTGATAAAGACAATTTCCTCATGTCATGGGATTTTTTTAGAAAATACGAAGCAAAGGCAACACGATCCTAAAGACTTAAGGAAAAATCATCCTTAGACAATTTCAACAGCCTAAAGCTTGACGAAAGCCTATAAAGGTGCGAAATGTGCGAACATTGCAATAGCATTATTACCAATCTGAACGTGAATTTATGTAGGCGATACAGTATATATTTAAAATTCCCATTGAGTTTATTTCAAGAAAGTCTTAGCGATCAAGTTAATTGGGTAGAGAGAGTGGTAGCGATGTAAACAAAAGTTGTGAAGCGAGTTTGTCTGACCTAAGATCTGACAGCGAGTTCAATGTAAAACATGAATGGAATCTTGATTTCAACCCTGCGATGCACTAAATAACATAATACAACCTGTACTCTATCCCCAATTTGCCCCTTTATAGCTCGTTGGTGGAAGTTCGAACCGATGTCCTTTCGACGTACAATCATGGCTTACCGACGGTCCCTCACAATCCTATTCCACGACAGAGTGCTATTGGAGAAGGAACTGGCAAACTTTTGGACCTACCTGAGAATTCTCAGCTCCTTGAATGAGGTGAGTAAGTTAATAATTTTTGAACCAGTCGTGTGATTTTGTACGGTTGTAAGACACTTGCTCCTGCGACAATTGCTCGGAGTTAATTTCCTACACTAACCGAATTCCGAACCTCAATCCTGGACCCTACACTATATCTTACATCAATGCTACCCCTATACCTATCATAACGCTGAATTGCAACCTAACCCTAACCATATACCTCTGACGACATGAAGCCCAGAATAATTATCGCAGGAGCAAAATGTCTAGTCATTGTTAGTACAATTATCATAAGGACCTTTTCTCGCTTTACAAGTAACTTTACAGAAAAATAAATCTTAAAGGCCCCCCCCCCGGGGGGGGGGGGATTACCCACATATTAAATCATACGGGGATGTGCCGCTCTAATATGTCACTTTTTCAAAAAATAATCCCTAAATATGGGTCCCATGTTAAACAAAAATATCCCTTAACATGGGTCCGTTTTTTAAAGTTTCCAAAGCTTTAGGGTGTTTGCATTGTGAAAAATTGGCCTGTATTTCGAGAAAAATCACCCAACTGACCCTTAAAAATGGGTAGAGGTGTTGAGGCTTAAGCGGCATGCCCCCGTTTAAACCAAATCTGAGTAATCCCCCCCCCCCCGGGCTTAAAGGTCGTTTGTTTGATGCATGTCAGCAAAAAATCAAATCAAAATCAAACAAAATGAAACAATCAAAATAAAACCCAATGAACCAAACAATTATAGCTACTTGCATACCCACCCCAACACAAACATACCCTACCATCCAAACATCGACACACACACAAATATTTATCGTGACATACTAGCTTAATTCTACTCTAATTGGTTTTTTGAAAGGAAGATTTCACAGGTAGTAAAGGGTCAGAATGTCCCCCCCCCCCTTTTTTTTTCCCTCTCCCCGTATCCCCAACACAAGGTCCGATCTTGAAAGAGGAAAGTCATGAATTCGGGATCTGTAAGCCCAGACCGCCAACACCACCACCCTTCCTGTAAGGATAATTTTCTACACGGTTAAGATGTCTAGCTCACATTGAATATGTGTAAATGTTTTCAGAGAGTAATATGATATATACGTTATCGTATGTATCGAAATCTGCATTTCATTCAACAAGAATTCGCATAATATTTGTGTTATCCTTTGTATTTGTTTGTTCTATATATTAGATTAATCTACAGCATGACATCCTTTCCATTAAGACGTTCTACATCCCTAATTTAGACAAAGTCTGGAGACGTCCACACCAAGTAAGTGATACGGGTCTGACCGTTCATATTAGTGTAGGAGGAGGGGGGGGGGGGGACAATAGTTTTGTCAAAGAATCAATTTTTGTTCCTCGAAGGTTCGTTGCAGCAGGAGTTCACAATTTCGAAATGGATGATATAGGGTTTTCTTTCATTTTCAGAATTTTAAAAAATCGGCATAATGTGCCCGATTTATTTATTAGGCCCTTGTTTATTAGGCTCTTGTTCGGGGTACGGTTAAGAACTGTCATAATATCATTTTTTAGTATTGAACATGACAAATTGAACTTTCGGATTACCAAACATCTGGTATAAATGAAAAAGTGCCATGTATCACATCGAAACACCTTTAAGAACATAGTTGAATTCTCTTTAGAACTGCCAAGAGTGAATACTTTCACATGATAGCAAGGATTATGGACAGATCTCGAAGTGGTTATGATACATTAATATTTGTATATAGATTCATATTGATTGATTTAACCTTATTGGCATATCATCTATGCATTGTCTGAATATACCAGCAATAAATACATTATGAATAAATGACGAAATTTTAATTAAAAAATGGATTTCATGATTAAACTAACATAAAACAAGAACAGAATGTCTCTATAGTGATGCTTTTGTTTTAAATTATCTTTTTTAACGAAATGCTTTTTATTTTAACGAAATGCTTTATATGTTTTCACATTTGCAATGTTAATGCATGTATTTGCAATGTTTTCCAAGGACCCATTGAAAACTAATTTCCCCACAGTGTTGGCTTTTTAACGTGTATGAATAAATTCGTTATGTTTACTCTCGTGTTAATTTAAACAAGAAAAACGGTCGTGTACTCTTTCTTGATGTTTATAGCCGTTGCAGAAATTATCCTGGGCGTCGTATCCATTCCTCATTGATCTGGAGATGAAAACAAAGATGCTTGAATCCCATAACATAAGTGAACAAGATGTAAGTACAATTTTATTTCTTCGTGAGAAATTGAGATCAGTCAACGAATCCGAACTGTCTATCATTACAATTGCACTAGTCCATTTAAGCCTATGAAATGCGGGTTTGAAAAACAGTGACGAGGAGTACAATGCGCTTTACAATGTCATTACCGTTACTCATGCCTGTGTCTACGGAGACTACTGAAGAAAACATGTATCAACATATAAAACGCAGTGTGGAAGCACAAGGGTAGAATTATGAACTGCATGGACAACAAAAGAAAAGGGGTGAGTGGATGTGAACCGCATGAATGGAGGACAGTGTATATGAAAAATAGGAAGTACGTAGGAAGCATGATGAATTTTTTTTTTATTTAGCACCAATTGGTGACATTTTGTTGATATTTAAAAAACACTATGTAACTTTATTTTGTTTTTAAAGAATTTGGTGAAAGTGAATGATTTATGCCTATATCAAGAGTGTTCCAAAAATGGGGGACCAACATAAATTAACTTGTTCTGAGGTAATAGAGTTTTGAAAAGGGGCAAATGAAATTGAACGTCTAGTTGGTTAATTATGAACTGATTGGTTTTGTAAAAAAACATAAAATCAAAAGTTGAAGGTAACTTATTATTATCATATTGTTACATAAATTTGCCTAATTGGTACAAGTTCAAGCAGTTAAAGGGATAGTCGATTTCTGCTGCAGAGGGCGCTACACATTTTATTTTTTTGTGATAATAATGAAAAACTGAGTGTCACATTTGAAAGAACATAATATTTAAATGACTAAATCATGTTTGTTTGATCAAAATCGGTTCAGAGACGGATGAAATATAACGATTTCAAATACTTGTGTACCACCACAAATATTAGATATTCTGAAAAATTTGAAAAAAAACCGTTGAAAAAAAAAAACGAATTAACGCCTTTTACGTCGTATTTCAGCCAATGCCGATGTTGGTTTTTTGTTTGCATTTTCATGTTGTTCATATTACCCACAATTAGACGGCTAGTGTAATTTTCTTTTAATTAAATAACTAATTAACGGTCACCGTGTTTAAAAAAAAAAAAAAGTAGAGCTGAATTGGTATGATCGTATTGGCTAAATTTTACACATTTTGGGGTCTAAAATTACCTTCATAGCAATTTTAGGTTCTAAAAGGGCACTATTAATGTCATAGATAAGAATAAGAGCAATAACCATGCACTTTAAAGACATTTGCGGTCTGAAAACAGAACTCAACTATCCCTTTAACGTTTGATAATGTATTATACAAAAATAATGGGTCTGTATGAGAGCGTAGGAAAGTAACATATACAAGAATAGCCCTTTTTGTAATAATAATAATCTCAAAACAGCGATTTGTGCGCATTCCCCCAAGTAAGAAGACCATAATTCAGGTATGGCAATATTAAAAATGAGTATAACATAAACAAGGACGAAATTGGGAGACAAGTTTTTAATTTATTTATTACCCCAATATTACATGAAATGGTTTTACAAATATTATCAATATAACATTTCACCCTGGACGTTTCCATGGAAACTTATTATCAACAGTTACTCCAAAAAATGTAATATGAAGTACATCTTCTAACAATTTATTATCAAAAACAATATACCAACAAACATAAATTTATTTTTCTGACAATTTAAAAATAATTTGTTAGCTCTAATCCACTGAGAAATCTGTAATAGTTCAATATTAATATTTTTTGATAAAGTAAGTGGATTACTGTGAGAAAAAAATAATCGCATTAGTATCATCGGCAAAATCGTATGAATGACTACATGTCAGACGATTTACAGAAATAATTTATATAAAGGATAAATAAGAGTGGACCCAAAATGCTACCTTGGGGGCCGCCGCAAAAAGTTCATATCATGAAATACATAGTTAACATTAATCAAGGAAACATACTGTTTTCTATTGGAAAAGCAGCTCCGGAACCACTGCAAGGCCTTCGCACGTACACCATAGCAGGACGTTTATGAAGTAAAATATTGTGGTTGATCGTGTCGAAGGCCTTAGAGATGTCCAGGAATGTACCCAACGTGTGTAAAGGTTTATCAATAGCATGTGCCACCTCATCAGCAAGAGACAATAAAGCATGAGTAGTGCTATGTTTTTCTCCGAAACCAAATTGAAAATTAGAACAAAATATCATGATTCTTTACAAAGGAAACAGTCCGAGTATATATCATCTTTCTAAAAACCTTAGAAAGTGTAGACAATAAATATGTATAATATTTTAAAGATTGTTGCAGTTAGTTTTACCTAGTATCCTGTAATTCAAAGTTCTCATGTTTTTCAATGATTGCTTACAAGAATGCCATGGAACAAGCAACAAGGCAAGATCCAATGTTTGGATTATGTTATCTCTTGGGGATTACTGTACCAAGTCCGCGTCTTTTCCTTAACGTAAACCGGGATGACATCTTCGGGAGGAGTGTCCGGGAGCAGTTAACCGAGATGCTGACCTTCCCGAGGTCCTGGTTTCAAATACCTCTCAGGATCCGATTCATGGGTGAAATGGGTATTGACGCGGGGGCTCTAAGTATGGTAAGTGATTATTGGTATCCTTGTAATAGCCACCGCTTTAATAAATTTTGTAATATATATACAGTGCGTCCCAGATAAAAGAAACCGAGCATTATCGATGTTTTATCATAACTTAATCACAATTATAATTTAAAAATGACCCATATTTGTAAAGCTTAGATCCTCATCTTTTATTAGATATAACTTCTATGATGCATATTTCACGCATGGGTGATTTAAATCAATTTGAAGAAAGGGAAGCAAAAAGTAATATGGCGGACGGTATCTGAATTTCAAAGAGAAAATCACGTTTAAAAAAAGTTCAGTTTTTGCCCTTTCATATGACACCTCAATCAGGGAAAATGAGCAAGGAATAACAAAGTATTTTTTGTTTAAAGTAATGCTTGCATTTCTATAATTTTATTAAACGAATTCGTTTTCACTGGCTGCCTGCCGTAGCAACAAACAAAATTAATAAAAGACTTAACTTCTTTTCTTTGACGATCAGCCCTTGAACAAAAGACTTCATGCATGGCTGATTATAAGTTATGATAAAACATCGATAATTCTCGGTTTCGTTTTTTCTGGGACGCACAGTACAGAGAGAAAGTTTTTAGAAGAACAAAGTATTACAGAAAATAAGGATCAAACTCGTGATCTCACTTGAGAGTCAAGAGCCTTTACCTCCAACATTTATATGTATGCGTTCTTATTCTATAAAAACAGGATTTTTTCCGGCTTGTCTTTGAAGAACTTTTCGATCCGGGAAAGAACGGTCTTTTCCGATATGTCGACGAACTCGACCCGACTCACTCGCCTGTCTGGTTTCGGAAGGTACATAATCATTTTCGGAATTTCTACTGTGATTAGACCCTGCATTTTTTAAGAATTTGTTTTGGCAAATTTGAGTGTACATCTTTAAACTAATTAATTATTCAGAGATTGACTTCCAAGTTTCACCTCTTTTGTCTGGTACAATATGTTCAAAACATACTTGGACTATGTGTTTGGCCTTTTTTCCGATACATAGCAATTCGTAAGGTATTGAAGGTATTGCATGAGTCAATTGCTTTTTGGGGAATTCGAATAACAAGTATCAAGAGAACGCCACTCAAAAGAAATTCTAAATATGATTTACTGAAAGTTGCGTTTGATTTTTTGGGGATGACATGTTATTGCTACGTTTTACCCATGAAAACAATTATATCAATTCTATATTATTATGTATTTTTTTCTTTTTATTATGATCATTCAAGAGTTTGGCTGGGTGATTTTTTTCTTATTTAGGACTCATAGTGCGTTTGTATTGTGGTTATGCTTCTTCATTTTTATTTCAGAAAAAAACAATGCATTAGGCCAAGTTAAAAAGAAAACATGTTTAGCGTCCTGCTTTTTTTTTTAAATATAGAAAGGAGGAGGCCTTTTTTTTTCTTCTTCAAAATGGCCACTCGGTACATTTTTCCTGACAGTCGGCTATTTTTCAATATGGCCGCCAACATTTTTTTTTTTTTTTAAATCAGAAATAGATCCATTTTAGCAGCGTTTTTCATGTTTTTTTTTTCTTCAAAATTTCAACACACACACACACAAACAAAAAATAGGAGGCGGCACCCAAAAAAGAAGCGGGCGGGGACGCTTAACATGTATATATTTGTTTAATTTGCTTTGTGTATAACAAAAATATGCATGTGCGATGCGCATTCATTTAAATGAACTTAACTAAACCACCTTTCCTGAATACCTATGTAAAACAGGACTGTGAGGACTCCAAACTAGCCGAGATATGTGGTCTTCTGTGTGGGTTTTCATTGCACAACAAGGCAATAGTTCCATTACCGTTCCCACAACTCCTCTACGCCAAGCTTCTAGGAAAGGGGTATGTTGCTCTTTATACATCACCACCACCACCTCCATCAACAAAAACAATTACAACAACAACAACATGAACATCAAAAACACACGAACAACGAGATAGCTCTTTCTCGGTGTGACGGAGGAAATAAAGGCTCTGGATTTGACGAAGCACTTATTGGTCGTACCCTTACATGTCACAACAACAACACAAACTGGTATCAAAACAAAAGAGATTTAGAATCTGAAGAAAAAAATACATTCATTGCAGCACCTTCTCTTTGGAATAATTTACCATACAATTTGAGAATCATAACCAACCCTAACCCTTAGAGACCTTTAAATTCAAGCTGAAATCTTATCTTTTTAACAATGCCTATACTTGGCAGTATGACACTCATCAGAACTCTCTCATTCTTTCTATTTTTCTTGTGCGCTTCGGGATAAAATTGTCTAGATAGACGGCGCTATATAAATGCCTTTTCATTATTATTATTAGTGATACCACAAAGTGATCTTTAGTTTATTTATTTTTTTCTATCAAGGGCCTCGTTACATGGAAAAGATATCCAGTTTATACGAAAGAAGAAGTTGATTATAATGCTTAGCCAAACAAGTAGTACTTCATAAGATCCATGGTAACTAGCCCAAATCATGTCGCCTTGTGTTTTGGAGAAGAAAACGAAGCGACCATCTGCAAAGAAACATTTGAATGCGATCCCGAATGGGAGCGCATATAATCACATCTTTGTGTTTATTATGCTTCATTATATCGCCTGGTCATAACAAAAACATCACCTTCATTCAACAAAATTGTATAGATTTTATAATATCTTTGTTCGACATCTAACGTGAGTTCCTCCTGTATAGAGGCATACGGTAGAGTAGTGTCTGTAGTGTCTAGAATAAGAAACTCTCAGACTGGTGGCAGCGCTGGCATATTATTTATAAGATGTTTATAGGTTTATTCGTTTATTAATTTAATGTTCATATTTTCCCTATTTTGTATTTAAAAAAGAATTGTTATCTATTGTTTTTCTTGTCTATTTCAATTATAGATTAAGTTGTGTATTCATGTATCTTTATGAAAGTGCTTTGTTATAATGAAATGAACTTCTTTTGATTTCAAGTTGATTTTTAGCCCTAATAGTGATATGGAGGAAGTGGCAGAGCTCGACAAGGAGTTCGCAGATCAGATGTCTAAATTGCGGACTGGAACAGAAGATTACGTGATGGGGTGTTGCTATGGTGAAAAGGTGGAGCTGAAGAATGGGAGGAGCGTCGATGTCACGAAAGAAAATGTGTAAGGAAAACAGGATCCAAAATCTAAAGTGTAGGCAACATAATTATAAAGATAACATTGTCTGAAGGCAGCTTGGACAAAGCTAGGCATAATATTCATAATAGCAGTATTTTTGTTAATGCCTTGAGAATTCTTAGTATGGATATGTACACTGTCGATGTAAATGTAGCTGATTTATTTCATTGATTATTAAATAGCATCATACACTAGTCGTATCCATTTCAATCATAGCATGCATTGGCACTGCTTTGCGGACGAAGAGTTAATAAGGTGCGCCTCGGCTCGTGACGACCCGATCATGAAGATGATGAGTGATCCAGGACTATAGGAGATTTTTAAAAAAGTCTTGCCAGAGTGGGTAACTGGGTTCAGTGTTGTAAGTTTCCTGCCGGGAGAACATTAGTATTTCTCTTCTAAAAAACAAGAGGCATGGTGGTAATAAATACAGAAAGAATTTCATTCGTTAATAACGACAACATTTGGTATTATTTTAATGTTATGCTTTGTCCAGTTAGTCCATTAATATTATCTTTAGTGACGCCGACTGCATGCTTCTGATCTGCATACCCTTGCGTAAATCCTCAGTTAATTAATGCTTTTTGATAATCTCAATCTTCCAACTATTATTTTATCTTCTTTGCGCTAAAGACATCTCTACGTGGACAATATGGTTCGAGATTACCTGGTTCCGTCACAGTTTGCAGCCTTCCAGCGAGGATTCAACAGAGTCTTCAATCCCGCCGCCTTTGATATGTTCAGACCTATCGAGCTGGAAGCGCTTGTCATGGGAGAGAAACACTTCGATTGGAAAGCTCTTGAGCAGGTAATACGGACCAACAAAAATAGATGATAGACCACTTAGCACAAGGTGTCAATGGCCGCAAATGTCAACGGATCTTTTAAACACGGAAGTGTACCACTATGCATTTAAATATACATGTACATGTACACTGTTGGTCATAAAGGTGGAATACATTTTTTACCCCAATTTATGGAATGATTATGACAATGATTTATTCCCAATAGATCTATTTGCATACATTCTTAGATTGTATTGAATAATAGTGTTTGTTTTGCGTGACTGCTAAAGCATGTGTATGCTACTATGTTTATCATAACTGATAGTAATGAGGATTAATGCCTCACAAAAGGGCACTTATATACAAATAGCACATCGACAAAGTTTAAGAATGATTCGTTATCTGGTTATTGACTGAATATTAGAGCATTAATATTTGTCAAACTTCCCCCAAATTACAAACCACATTGAAGATTTGCACATTCTATTTTTCTTATGATATATAATTTGATTTATTTTCAGTCGACCCAGTATAAACAGCCATATACAGACTCACACCCAACCATCAAAATGTTCTGGACGGTATTTCACGCTCTAGACAATGACATGAAAAGAAAGTTTCTTGGTAAGTCTAAAATGTTTGATTTACATTTTGTTTATTCCATAATATTGATATATTGACTGCTATGAGAGGCATCGCTTTTTCTATAGGCTCAAGGGGACGTTACATCCTGATATGACCCCCTAGGCGCGCAGGGGCGTCCCCGAGAGACAGTAAAGAAACAGCTATGCTTCGAATATTAAAGCAGTTGATATATAACTTTTATATACCAAATTCACAAACAAATCTACAAAGAATTCTTACCTTATCCTTTTCTTGGATGAAGACTGGTTATACATCACAGAAAGTCTGAGACACCATCTTCGCTGGAAATTTGCCTGAACGTTACGATCATTCGGGAATCGGGGGCAAAACGCACTAAATGGTATCCGCGCTCGCACATAGAAACTTTTTACACGTAAACCAATGGGGATCTTAGAAAATTTGTTTCTGCGGCCCGTTACCTGGGGCATGCAGGCATCTTTAAAAACAACTATATATACCGGTAGGCGGACATGGCTAAAATCACGACTCCAATTTCGACCAGTCAGATGACTAGATTTTTTCAACATTCTAAAGAGAGGTATAATTATAATGATGTATAACGTTTTTGTGTCTCGAAGGACTTTAAAAAACTAAAAGCACTAAGTGCAATCAAGTGCAAGTTTTTTTATACTCTTTTGTTCTACTTATGCACGTCTGTAGTATGAATTCGATAAGATCATCAGATCTTTGTTTTGGAGTCTTTTGTCTCTCTCTTTGACGACAATGTTGATGTCGTGAGGTTTATCAGTATTTTTCATATCATCTTTTTTTTTATCATTATTCAAATTATTATCATTATCCTCACTACTATTTTTTTCTTCATTATAATAATTACTATGATTATTATGATTTATCTTGTTGCAGTATTTGTCGCTGGGTCTGATCGCGTCCCGGTTGGTGGACTACGAAACCTAGGACTCCACATCGACCACCTCCAGGTACCCATGGACGATTCCTTGGACGAGCAACCGTGCGACACCGAAGACAGACTCACCCGGCTGCTGCCAGTGGGCCATGGCTGCGATAACCATGGCTCCCGCCGTACCTTACGGCTGCCTATGTATACTATCCTTGAACTCATGGAAGATCGTTTGACCGTCGCCCTGTCCTATTATGACTGCCCATTTCATATCGCTTAGATGAACAGGATATTTCTTTATCATATTTTATTCATGTTCTTTTTATTTATACCATTTATATATAAATGGTGTTTACCATTCATTTATACAGTTCTTATGTAAGTTAATTTCTTTCTATCTTCATTTACTTATTCAATTATTCATTCATTTATTATATTCTTTAGTTCATATAACTATTATGTCTTCAGGTTATTTCCATAGCCTCTTCAGGTTAAACGTTATACACTGTTGGTCATAATGGTGGAATCTTTTTTTTTACCCCAATTTATGGGATGATTTTGACAATGATTTATTCCTAATAGATCTAGATAATAGTATACATTCTCAGATTGTATTGCACAATAATTTGCGAGTGTTTCTTTTGCATGACTGCTAAAGTATGTGTGTGCTACTATGCTAATCAACTAGCGCACCTATGTCCTTAAGTCATAACTGACAGTAATGAGGATTAATGCCTCACAAAAGGGTACTAATTTAGATGATCGACACGGTTTTTATTCTGGGATCTCACATTTATGAGGCCTTAAAACAAATTTAACAAGACTAAATTGGAAAACACTTGACAATAATAGGAAAAATAATGGAGCAATTATGATGTATAATGTTGTCTCAAAACAAGTTCTTGAATATTTAAAAAAGACCAAACACTGAGACTATGAACAGATCTTTTAAATGAAAAGGGGCCTTAACATGGAATAACTTACCTCATGATGTACCAGGGGCTATATCGTTGAATACATTTAAGGCAAAGCTGACGTAATACGAAATAAGTGTGTGTGGAGATGGGTAACCTTTTAATTTGATAAGCCGTGTTTTGTTAGTTTTTAAAGCTTTATATTTGTAAACTTATACATGTCTATATAATTTTAGCCAATTCATTATCTTACATATTATTTATTACTCCTACACAATATGAAATCACTTTTTGTTTGAAACTCTAATTGTGTGTAATATGATCTATGCAATACGGTATCAGTTTCTGTCTCTTAAAAAAATGTAATATTTGACTGATCTATATTCATATGTTCTGCTGTATTTATTATCATTCCAAACTTCTTTTTATTTCTACACAATATAGAATACGCATTTGTCCAGATTTCTGTGTAATATATAACTTTACCTGTATGTGTGTTCTCTTTTGTGTTTGTTTTAAACTTTTACCTATTTAATATTAAACATAAATACATAAATATATTCTTAACTTATATCTTATCTTGTTAGACTTCGCTTTTTTGTAATACTCTTTATATTTATATAAACCAACAGATTTTTTTGTTCATAACTTTCTTTAATTGTTTATCTTTTAGGCCTATAAATATAGCTTTAAATAATGAAGTGTTTCTAGTTTATTTTCTATATATTGTTGTATTTGGTTGTAAATTTGTCAGTGTTATTATTATTACTTTTGTTCATATGTCATAATTATGTTGCTTTTTATCAACACGGCCCTGATTGAAACCAGTCTGCAAACTGTGTTGGGCTTTTACCGTGTATCAATGAAATAACTCAAACTCAACTCAAACTTATATATATGGTGTTTCCCAAGGGTTTGTCTTAGCTCCACTCTTGTTTTTGTTATTTAAAATTAATGGTATATACACAGATTACGTAATATAAACGTTTATTTTCCTAAATTCACCAGAAGTTTCGGAAGCTTTCAAAGTCTGTATCATTACACACCTTTCAGAAAGTACCGCGGATAAAACAGACCACAAGAGGCAGGTGGCGCAATCGGTTCATCTCAGCATTCTTTTATAGTTACTATCAGAAATCCTCCCAAGCGCTGTATAAGATCAACGCCCAATATCAACGATATTGCATTTCGTGTCAACATTACCAGATTTAGGAGTTTTTATTTAAACAAGTCAACATAGACAACTACAAGTAATTTAGTTTTACTTTTATATTACCTTGTATGATTTAGTACAAGAATAATATTGCTAATGCAGATATATGTACTCTCTATGTTATCTTTGTACATAATCATATCCTTGCTCCTTATGTGTTCAGGATGTTGCTTTCCTCATAATGTCATGCAATGGATACGAATTCCTATGACCAGAAAATGTATTTGTACGTGTTAATTGAAGGCTTGTCAAACTAGGCTATCACATTTGATATTCATGACTTCTGTGAAACTGGGGCGGTATTCTGAACATTGTTGTAAGTTTTGTGTTATCTTTTGTTGTATCTTCCAGAAATAGCACAGCGCTAATATTGTTGTAAGTTGGTATTCTGAACAACATTTTATCCCTGTGTTATCTCTTGAAGGACCGCCTTTATCTTATCTTTGACCACTATTAACATTTTTATGGACCCTACCAATCAAAATCTATTTTATATAAGCATGATAAGTAGGTCAACCAATATGAATACTTTATGCCATATCTGAAGATGTGCCTAGCGCATACTAATCTTGGGCGTAATTAGTTATTTGAGCACTTATTACGCGCGTCATCATTATGCGCTGTTGAATGTGGATCATGAAGACAAATCACGCTTTCACTATATTGGTTAAGATGAGAGCATTAAAATCGTCATATCCTAGCATGTAATATCTTAAAAAGTTCTCATCTGTGATGTTTCCGGTCCACACACAATCTTTTTCTAACTCGTCTATTGGCACGAAGTTGGTTTTGGGCAAAAAATATTGCCACCATTATATCACCACGAAAGATAAAACAACCCCCTACCTGTTGTAAATATTGTTGTAAATACCATGCAAGATAAGATAAGATAAAAGATACAACAACTTTCAGAATACCAATTATCTCGACATAATTATCTCCCGTGCGCATATGCAAATGGGGATTAAATGCCCCTTTATTAATAATACGCACAATTACAAGCGCACCAAACTATGAGCGCAGGCGCGGCCAATGAGATAAGAGAAAAGATACAAGAAAAGATAACACAAAAGTTACAACAGTGTTCAGAATACCAACTTTATCTTATCTCCAAAGATACAACAATATTAGAGATAACACAGGGTTCAGAATACCACCCCTGGTGATTTACTTTATTTATTACTAATTATTCCTCTAATTTTGCTCCTGTACATGACCCTTTGTGCTCCTAAGGGGAGTTTGATTCTCATAATTTTCTACCCTCACTTGTCTAAATCTTTAGGCTATACATCTTAAGGCCCCACCACAAGCAATTTGCTTCTAAGGGTGTCCTTTACCGTAAATGTTTACTATGTAACTCATTTGTATGTACATGTTTCATTTTTATGGTTAAATAAATAAACTAAAACTGAAACATCTCAACCCTAAGGTAGTGCCATAGATTGTCATAAGTAGTCTAGTAGAGTGGCATTATTACTTGCAAATGTTATAGTCTTGAGCATTTCAGAGGCAGCAAGTACTATGAGGAGGGGGGGGGGGGGGTGAAACTAACTAATTAATGTATTATTTTAAAGCCTTTTGGGGGTAAACTTCAATTACAAGTTGAATGTAGCTTGCGCTTCATTAGCATTCTTTACAGTTATTTAGTTTCGTTATACTTTCTGCATTACAAATTATATTTTTAAATATTTGTGGACATTTCTTTTCTACTGATCTTTCCATGGAATGTGTTATCAATATTCATGTCATCTTTGATTTGTATTACAATATTAAATATTGTTGTCTTGCACTATCTAGTATCAGTGCTCTATGTGTGGTTCAGTTGAAAATAATTGCAATGGCACTCATTTTATCAAATCTCATATCTGAATAATAATTGTAGGCACCGAAATCGTAAACATATATATATATATAGAGAGAGAGAGAGAGAGAGAGAGAGAGAGGCAGAGAATCGGAGAGAGCTAGAGAGACAGGGAGACAAGGAGAAAGACAGATAAACAGAGATGCAGACGGACATAGGCACACAGCGAGAGAGAGGGAAATCATATGCTAATTAGAAAATCTGGGGAAAATTGCAACAAATAAAAAAAAAAAATTATTCAAAATTATATATCTTCCTAATATACCCAGGATATCAAACTTCTCTCCTTGTGTGCATGATTAGAAAGATGGAAAAAAATTGAAGTGCATGCAGGTATGATATAGGTGAGTTTCAGATTTAGCATGATCAAAATAGTTTTCAAAGCTTAGAAATGAGGTATGTGGGCCAAGCCATTGAAGGGTCACTACTTTCGTTGTTGATAGTATTATCATATTATAATATAGTATTATCCATTCTCTTTATTAGCTCGTCTTCTCCTTCCTCTCTTCTCTCTTAATACTTTCCTTCTAGTCGGTGCCTACGTTTAGTTTAGTATTTTCCTTTCCCTTTCCTCCCCCCGTCTTTCTCTTTTTCTCTCCGTCTCATTTTCTCACAAAATTTGCGATTTTTTCCTTTTATTTGTGTCTTTCCTTTTCATTTCATTTTTTTTTAATTCTTCCTTTTCTCTCTCTCTCCTTCTTTCTACTGGCTTTTTCCTCTTTCTCCTCACTTCTTCCTCGATCTTTTCAGCGCATGCCGAGAGACGCTTCAATGCAGCTGTTAGTTAGGCCAGGGTTAGCGCCCGGACCGAACAAACCCGTCAATAATTCCACTGATCTACTTACCGGATGTTGCCAGTGGGCCATGGCTGCGATAACCATGGCTACCGCCGTGCCTTACGGCTGCCTATGTATACCAGCCTCGAACTCATGGAAGATCGTTTGACCGTCGCCCTGTCTTATTACGACTGCCCATTTCATATCGCTTAGGGTCAGGGATATTTCTTTACCATATTTTATTCGTTTTTTTCTTCATACCTCTTAATTTTGTTTGTTTGTTTTTGTCTTTATTTAATTATTCATTCATTTATTATATTCTTTGATTCATGGTTTTATTGTTTCTTCAAGTTATTTCCATAGCCTCTTCAGGTTTAACGTTGTATGATGTTACTTCTATTTACATTAAAAAAGCAGATACAATAAAGATGAAATAAAAGCAGTGCTACAGGGTCTCCCAAAAAACGCTTCAATGGATTTTTGTATTCTAAGAGCCAGCGAATTCAGCATAACTTT